CAATGCTCTTCTTTGAGAAGGCGAAATTTAGTTTATTTCTTTACACACATGCTTAAACATCATATTACCAAGCTGCTTCCACAGTTACAAAACTTTTAAGGGTAAGTAGCTATTTAAATTATGTTTGATTCTATAAAATAAAGTAAAAAAAACATTATCTTGGCGCGCGCACTGAAATTTGATTGATGCCCTTCATTGTGTAGATAGGATAGTTTGTTTGTATCACGACTGCAGATGTATCAGCTGCTTCTTGTCACCGAGCAGGTACTTGTTAAAACCACCTAAAGTGAATTAACGTCAGAAATTTCACTCAAGCTTGTTTAGGCCTTATTGTAAAACTCTGAATTTGGGAACTGGCGAATACCACAAACGTTTCCCGCACTTTAAAGCTGTGGGTGCGTTATAAGAATGACAGTCAATTTCTTAGCGTGGTTAGTGGGTGATAGTGTGCTGCTAACTGGATGCCTTTCCTCTGGTCAAAAGTACAAGATTACGTGACTTGCGAATATGCATTTCATTTTCAAATCATTACGTTTTAGTGATGTTATTTAAATTTCTTACTTACACCGAGACTAACTTTTACCAATTATTTCGCGTTCCTCTTAGTGTTGAGGACGCAATTGTGCCTTAGAATTATCAAAATATTTTGACGTGTGAGATAAAACGCTGATCTCTTTTGATTACTGGCTTTTAAACCAAACTGTTGGTGATTAGAGAAACCAACTTTTTTTCTTATGTCGCGACAATAAGATATCATCAAATTATAGCACACCGGGTAAATATCAATATAGGAAATCTGAGTTCTTTAACTTATCTTTACAATTTCACGTATCTTTTTGTTGTTCTTTTGTTTCACAAAATATTATAAATTTCATTTACACACACACAAACGTATATACTTTGGTCATTCGTACGCAAACTGAGGTGTCATATAGTTTTCTGTTGGACAAAGCAATTAACTCAGTTTTACAAACTAACGTTGCACTAATCTTTTTAAGTTTAAACGGTAGTCATCACACTTAATTCACCATACAGATTTTGTGTGTTTGTAAGTGCGTATAAAACTTGTGAATAGAGGTTACATCAGACAGACTGCCACTGCTTCAGATATCTCTCCTACTAAGATACATTCTACCATTCCCGCTCTAGAACTTGTACCCGCATTTTATTTCTTTGTCCTGTGACGTTTTAATTTTTGAATTTATTTTTGTGAAACTTGCATGAACTTGTGTGTGTGTGTGTGAGGCTCTTTGAGCAGCGTAGCCGGGAAATTGAGCCCTAAAAATTATATCCGAAAATATGTTACCGCGATGATAGTCATACCAAATAGATTTAATAGATACATTTGAAACAATTAGTGGGTGAGGAAAAAAAAATCTTATTATAAAAATTTCGACCCGAAGGAAAATATCCTGAGTTAAGTACTCCCCCTTCCCAAATCAGGAAACAACTTTAATCAAAGTTCGTGAATTACCACCTAATTATGTCGGTAACTTGGATTTTATGCAGTGATAAATTTCCCCGGGGGTGGTATAGGAAATGGGGATAAACAGTATTACTTCCAGTTATAACGATGACTGTGAAGTTACAGGCAAACGGAAGAAGTAATTGAAAATCTATGATGCATGCAGTCAATTTCAAACTGATGACTTTATTACACATTACATGATATCCCGCGTTTTTCAGGGATACTAACTTAAATAAATGTAAGAGTGGGACGAAGAATGGGTGAGAAATATGATCTCCTGCCTCTAAAATATATTTTGTTTGTTTCCTATTGCCTCCAGTGGCTCAGTGGTAAGTCTGAGGCCTTATAGAACTCAAATTGGGTTTCGATACCTACAGATATATAATCAATTGCATAGCTTTGTGATTAACAACAAACAAACAGATCTGGCCTATTTTTTCCCCAATAACTGTAGTGGTGATTTGTTATGAGAATTTTCATGGAAAGCTATACAAAGGCGATCTGTGCATAACCATCTATAATTCTAAACTGACAGACTATAAAGTAACTTTTCTCAACCCAAAATTAGGTCGTCAGAATGTGTGAATGAGTCGCGGTAAATAATAGTGGGTTTCATTTTTTTAATAAGTA